TCGCCTCGAGAAAGTAAACTTATTTGCACTTGAAAAGAGGCGATTAAGGGATGATCTAATTGCAATTTTCTAAATTATTATTGGGGACCACAATATCCAGAATAAGATGTTTATACCAAGAACTGTATTGATAATATGAGGGCACAAGAGGTTAGAAGAGAGGAGGTTTGATCTTAGACTGTGTAAGGGTTTTTTTTTACTCCTGAGAGTAGTAAAAATGTGGAATTCCCTTCTACAGTCAGTAGTATCCACTGATGGCATTGATAAATTCCAGGAACTTTTAGATGAGTTTCTTCATTTACTAAATATACAAGGATGTGGGAACTACTAGAGCCAAGTATATACAGACACACACACACACAGGTTGCGCTAGATCAGCGGTTCTCAACCTGTGGGTCGCGACCCCTTCGGGTGTCAAATGACGATTTGCCAGGGGTCGCCAGGAGTCTTCCGCTATTAGATAGAGGCTCCCGGCCGCTCGGGAGAGAGACACTTTCTCCCGGAAAGGTTTACTCTGCTCATTCGAGCAGAGTAAACCTTTCCCTGCGATCGTTTTTGTTTTCTGACATCGGGGGCTGCCGTAAGTCAGAAAAAAAAACCCCACCATAGGAATGCATTGCTAGATTGTTATTGGCTATTTCACTTTGCAATAGCCAACAGCAAACTAGCTATTGCACCCGCCCGTTGCTGCCAAGGGGGAACTGACGTTCTCCATCAGGTCCTCTTCTAGTGATTGACAGCAGCAGAGGGCGGGTGCAATAGCTAATTTGCTATTGGCTATTGCAAAGTGAAATAGCCAATAGGAATCTAGCTATGCATTCCTATGGTGTTTTTTTTTTTTTTTTTTTTTTTTATATTCTGACGGTGTACGCCAGTGGTTCTCAAGCTGTGGGTCGCTGTGTGATTTCTGCTGTGCTAGGTGAGAGTCCTTCTCAGCCCTCTCCTAGCGCAGCAGTGTCAGTTCTCCCACTTCGCCGCCGGATGTCACTGCAGCAGCTGCATCATCCCTAAATTTTACCGTTGGGGGTCACCACAACTTGGCAAATGCTACCAAGGGGTCCCGGCCCTAAAAAGGTTGAGAACCACTGCGCTAGATGGACCCATGTATTTATTCAACCTCACCTACTCTGAATGTAACTATGTATGTAACTACTTTTGTTCCCCAAGGCTCCTGTGTGTGTTGCTCTAAGCTCATTCCCATGATGGACTACAATCTCTTGCTTTACTAATTTGTATTGAGATTGTAGTCCATCATAGGAGTGAGCTTGGAATGGTGACTACTTTACAACACACACAGGGACCATGGAGAACAAAAGTAGCCCCCCTCCAGAAGGAAGGACAGTGTCAGCACCAATTCAGAGATGATTTGAGAATCTACAGCTGAGTGATACACAAATAAGATACATTTTTGTTAATAGTTAAGGTACTTGAATGCACTTTTAGGATTTAACTCCTGGGTTATGTGTCACTTTAAAGATGAAGTCCTCATCTTTATAGTTGTATCATGTCAGTGATTAAAAGTATTGGTCCCATTGGATTAACATGACATCTAGTCTTTACAGAGGACCTCATCAAAGGCATGCTCTCGTAGCCTTTAACTCTTTTACTGCCAACGCTGTAACTTTTACGGTGGAATGGTCAAACGCTGATAAGCTCACAGCCACCATAGTGATTTGGCCAGCATTAAAACAACCACCAGATCGCATTTACATGCTTGTAGCTTACTGTCTCTGATCTGTTTGGGCTGGAGGCAAAGGAGACAAAAATCATTTGAAAAATGAAGACCTCACAGATTGCATATATGCGCAGTGAAGATACACATACGTACATAAACATACTGGGGGAATTTATCAAAACTGGAGCAGACAGAATCTGGAGCAGTTGCCTATGGCAACCATTCAGCATCTCTCTTCAGTTAGCTCAGGTAAGATTTGAAAATGAGACAGAGAAGCTGATTGGCTGCAGTGCAAGTCTGCTCCAGTTTTTATAAATTCCCCTTACTGTATGTACCTCTGGTGTGTGTGGGGATACCATTTCATGAAACATATTAATTACCCCCCACCCCCACATACACACTTACACACCAGAGGTAGAAAAATAATGTTAGGGCTAACTCTAAAGTGATGACCTGTAAGGTTTTGAATATGTTGTCTTGTTTTGGCTATCATAGATTTGAAAGTTGTATAAGCTTACGGTACACAAATTTTAGGTCAGATACATTTTGGCATTTATTCACTTATTCACTTGAAACTGGTTCCTGTTTTATCTTGGGCATTGGAAATTATATTGTGCTTGTGTGGACTGAAAAAATAGTGTATTTTACACAATTATAATGCAACACGTAAAAATGAGACTACCATATTTTCAATGAATATGTCCTCGGCTTTGAGAAAAATAGTTTGGATTTTGTATTAAATTATAATAATTTGCATGTGGATGAAAAAGACAAAAAGAACTGATAACAAAATGGTTACAAATGCTGTTCCTGTGAATTCAGCAATAAATCTGCACTTCCATTCTGAGAAATCTGTAATTTAGCATTAATCTGAAATTGACCATAAAATCAATATTCAATGACAAAGCCTTCAGAGAATAAGTAAATATGCCAAGTGGCATATTTTTAAGTAGGCAGTGCATCTAGGCATATCTGCATTTACCCTAGTCTATTGGTGCTTCTGTGTGGGACTGTTCATCATTACAGTTCATTTTTAAGGGAATGTATAGATGTTTGTGTTGATTTTATGTTCAGGGATATTTTTTTCTACTTGGGTAAGTATGCAATAATAATCATGCATTATTTCTAGAGGTGCACCGAAATGCAATTTTCAGAGCGAAACCTAAATAAAAACATTTGTCAGGACCTAAAATTATTATTTTTTTCTAACCTTTTTAAAAACAATTTTTAATATTTTTATTTCATTGTTTTTTAAACTTTACTGTTGGGGACTCAGAGGACACAGAGTCCTCAATCTCTTTTTCTACAGCCCCTGTTATGAATGAACAGGAAGCCTTTATATTCCTGTCCATTCATACATTTTGGATATAATATGAGTTACTATGTTGACAATCATGAAAGAACAGGAAGTGATGTAGAGCACTTCCTATGCATTTATAATTGGGGACACATTAAGCATACTATGTCCTCAATTATTTACAAACACTCAATGATCAGCTGATCGTTACAGATCACAACAGCTGAGGCTTAGATTATAGGCAAAGTTGGATTAGGAGTGATCACCCACCCTCACACCTACCAGCTGTGTATGGCTCAATACAAATTTGCTACAACGTGGGCAAACTCAGTTCACGCACCCCTGCTTATGGGGCGGTGCACACCCTATGCGACACCCCACTGCTCGGCAATCGTGCATAATTCCGTGCGGATTGCCGCGCGGTCAGGAGTCGTATAGGTGTGCACCGATTGCGCTGTGGGTGCCATTATTTTCCATTGGCACCCCAGTCGCCCTGGGCAGTACCTTTTTTCTGCGATCAATGATGCACAAATGTTTTAGCTGCGATTTCTGTTCAGAACCGCGGGCGAAATTACGGCGGGAAACCGCGCGATCCGCCCAGCGCGGCTGGGGTGCCATTGGAAAATAATGGCACCCACAGCGCGATCGGTGCACACCTATACAACTCCTGACAGGTGGTGGCAGTTGTGGTGGGGGCTTTACAAGGAGGGATGGCGGTCAGAATTTTGAGCGGGCTTGGGCTCATTTATGCAAACTGAGTTTGCACAAAGCCCAGTCTCATCTCTAACAAAGATATACAAGCTGATTTACTAATGGAGTTGAGAATGTTCACTCAAAAATTGTGTGAATATTAACTTTGGTTATCCAATCATGTGGAATCAGATTGCTGATCACTTTAAATACCCAATCATGTGCAGATGCTTTTCACATGATTGGATCATTTACAAAAAGGTTTTAGGTAAAGATACTTAACTCCTTTAGTAATAGATACTATATGCTCAAAGGAAAATATTACTTTAATTTTCCTCTTTAGAAAGCCCATATTGCTCTGTGACATTGGTGTCCTAGTATCACCACGTGTTAAATATTTATAATTTAATATTTTATGGTAATGGGGCAGGTGAAATGTGAATGGAACTTGACAGCCCATTCAAAATAATTGGGCTGCCTAACGCAATGCACGCTAAATACACAATACTGAATATAAAACCTGTGTGCATTACTACAACAGAATGGTGTGTACGGACCCTATAAGTTAGGGATAACAGGTGGAAGGACAGTGTTCGCATACTGTTATAGCTAGGGCCGGATTTCCATTTCTGCTGCCTGTAGGCATGAATGGGAATCTGTTTAGCCTGAGTCAGCACCCTTTGCTGCTGTGGGACCCGCCAGCTCTCACATATGCAGAGAAAGACCCCTGCGTTTGCAGAAGCTTGCTGTTCCTGTAGGCATTGCTAGTCTTGCAGCTTGCTATTGCCGGTGTATCTTGACACAACACCAGGAATTAGGCAGAGTAGGTACCTGCATGGTGCCCGTCTATGAAGGGCGCATGTAGGCATGTGCCTACTCTGCTTTATGGTAAATCTGGCCCTAGTTATGGCCTCCACATCATCTGTGGTCCTTAGTTTTTATATTGGTCGACAATACCAGAACAGATGGTGTCTCCAGAATACCAGGTTACCAGCAACAAAATTATGTTCAACCCTCTAGGAATTTGACATACTACAGCAATGGCTGGACTGAAAACAGAAGCCCTGCATTGATAGGTTGTCCTGCAGATCGAAGTGTGATTGTGAATTTGCGTGGTTAATACCTTTAAATTATGAATGGATCCTAGATGAGGTCTGCTAACCATAAAACTTTAGCATTTCAAGATTTTGTTTGGCTCTCAGAGTACTTTGGAGCTTCAAGAATGGTATGCGTCTCCTCACTGTGCCTGTTCTCAACCATTACAGGTTCATTTTTAATAAAAAGGACATTGTGTAAATGTATACAAAATGTAATTAATATTGTTCTTCTGGTTTACAGATACAGCACGTTACCCAGACCCATGACACAGCAGTTGTCCAGTCCTGATTTTTCAGGCCATGTGGATGAGAAACCAGATCAGGCCACCAGTATTGGACAGATAAAGCCAGAGTTATATAAACAGCGTTCAGCAGATGCAGAGATGAAGAAACTGGAAGCAACGAGCTGTGGGCGTATCAGTTTTATCCTTCGATATGCCTACAATACAGAACAGCTGGTGGTAAAGATACTGAAGGCTCTAGACCTACCTGCAAAGGATGCCAATGGATTCTCAGATCCTTATGTAAAGATGTACCTGCTTCCTGATCGAAAGAAAAAGTTCCAGACTAAAGTTCACCGCAAGACTCTTAACCCAATCTTTAATGAAACATTCCATTTTAATGTGCCCGTTAATGATCTTCAAAACCGCAAATTGCACTTCAGCATTTATGACTTTGACCGATTCACCCGACATGACCTTATTGGTCAGGTGGTAATAGACAATTTGCTGGAATTCTCAAATCCAGCAGAAGAAGTTCCCATCTGGAGAGACATCCTAGAAGGCAGCTCTGTAAGTATCTACTGGTATCTCCTAAAAAGCTGGATGGATTTTAGTGTACCGTGTTCTTTCATTCATGGCATAAAATAGAGTCTAGAACATGGAGGCCCACATTTACTCCCCCTAAAGGTTTTTCCAGGTTTTCACTTATTCCTTCTTGCCATGTTTCTACCATGATAGCTCCAACTTCCTTACCTGGTATTGTTGTGGATAAATCCCAAAAACTGAATTACTAGTGAACTCAAGTGAAAGTCTTTCATTCACCCTTACAATATAACAGTATAACTGAGGTGATGTCATGGAGGATTCCAGGCAGAGACCTACCAGAAAATGTAGTTCTAGGTTTATATTCTGTATTATTGTTTTATTATCCATTTTTACAGTTTCTCCTGCATATTGTGTCTGTCCTGACAGCACTGTGTCTCTATCTATCATATATATTTGGTGTGGTTGTGCTGCTGTGAAAATTCTCTTTACATCTGCAGTACATCTCCTGGAATCGTTGGCTTCTCTGTCCTGAGAGTCTTTGCTAAGCGGATAATCTGTTTACTTCCAAAGCAATGCACAAATGAGCCTTCATGGCATCAAAGCCCACCCGTTCTACAGACTTGACTTTTTTTTACCACTCTACTAACTTCATCTTCTTGAGCGGCCGCAGTCCAATCAATTCTCTAATCAAAATAACCTTTATTAGAAACCAGAGCAATCTGTCATACTGGCTTGTGGACAGGCTCATGAGGTGATCAAGCACTGCTGCTGCATAGCCACTGTTTGTGCACGTTGTGTATGTAATGATAGGCTTACCCTGAGAACACAAAACATACCCTGCAGGAAAGTTGAATGTAAGGCCTATCACTCACTGCCAGTGCTGTTTTTACTGGATGAAGCTGAGGATCATAATTTAGGCAGATGTCCCCCATTTCATTAAGCAGAGAACTGGAGAGGGCTGGTGCTCACATCTACCAGTTGGCTGCAGGGAAGGCAAAAAATTAACATTTCCCTGCTAGCCATTCTTTTGACTGAAGTGCAGAGATTGTATAATTTGTTTTACCTTGGAACAAACTAATTTGGCATCGGTATATAGACTATTTACATTAGTCCCTGCCCCAGAGGGTTTTACAGTCTATTACTCCTACTACAGTTACACAAATTTGGCCCAATTTGTGTGCAAGCCATTGAGCCTAGTTGTATGGTTTTGGACTGTGAGTGGAAACCGGATTACATAAACACATGCAAATTCTGTCAACTCCATGTAGTGCCCCTAGCATACAAAATGCTAACCGCTTAACTAACTGATCCTAATTTCCAGTTACAGCTGTAGATTTAAACTTTTCTTCCTTAGGTTTGTTGTAAGGGCCATTCCACGCAAGACTGATAGTTCAGTTTGGGGTAGAAGACATGAGCACATTCTGACCGAATCAGTTCGGTCAGCGCTTGATTTTGGAAGGGCAGGTTTATTCCGAACGTAGGTTGAACAAAATTTGCTGCTTTGCAATTTAAACAGACTGGTTCGCAAAGTGGACTAGTAAAGAAGGCAAAAGGTCCACTTACCAGTTCAGTTTTGGTTTTCAACATTTTCAGTAAATCCCCTCTCTCTTCCCCAAACAGGACACAAGTGTTCCAGATCTTAGCTCCAGTAGAATTCAATAGGGTTTTGCTTTTGGGGGGTTATTGGGTGACACAAGTGGCCAAATATGGAAGAAGTATACACTGTATGTCAATATTAGTAGCTGTCCTAAAACAGAACTATAGAACATACATGTCCAAAGTGGTAGTGGTCAGCAATGTTGGGGTCCAATTGAATTCACCAAAGAATGCCTAGCATTTAGCTTCAGGTGGCGGTTGTAGTTTTTTTCTCCTTTTCAAGTTACAGGTTTGTTTTAAATGGTAAGTGTACTTTCATTAAAACTACAGTTACACACCCTTCTTAGCCAACCTGACTTAGATAACCAAACGTCCATAGATACTTATTTACCTGACTAGGACAGCCATGACCTGCTGCAATATTTACAAACTCCAGTCAAAATCTTTCTCACCATTGGTTGCACCAGTGAGCCTATATGAACCATGTATAGTGCCGTCTCCCATTTCAAAGACTATGAGCGATCACTGTTTAGATGCTGGCGGTAGACCATGCAGAAGATTTTGGCTTGAGGATGTCAACATTAAAATATGCCGTAGTTGCCCAACTAAGCAGCCTGGGGTTAAGAAGGGTTTGGTTAGAAGGACTAGGGCACCCTTATATTTGAAATGACATATATTTGAAATGACAACAAATACACCTTTAGAAATGTTTGGTAATGGCAATCTACAAACAGATACTTCTAGATAATTGCCGGCTTTTATTTCACAATCTCAGGGGAGGAAAATGCTTTTCCCTAAGATCTGGTGAGATTACAGATGAGATATCCCAGCAATGCCCTGCTGATGTAACCTTCCCAGGATGCAACGCTTGGGCACAAATTGCATCACTTATGCCTAAGAGGACTAGGAAGTGGAAAAATAATAATTTTAAGTAAAAGAAAATTTTTTGTTTAGCTAATGAATGTAAGATGATTTCATATCAGCCTGCATAGCTGCATGCTGAGGTAATTTTTTGTAAAAAGTGGTAAAGGTCTGCTTTAAATTAGAATGAGATATTGTTTAAAGATTGAGTTATTGCTTTTAATGCGAGCTCTGCTTGAAGACAAATGATAAACGAGATTGTTTCTTGAGGAAAATATGTAAGCATATTTTCTTGGGTACCCCATCCTCCAGTGTCTCAGATCTCCCTGACGAACAGTTTCTCCTATTTCCTCTATGACTGCTGCCCACTCCTCCCCCATGCAGATGCTTTTCCCCCTTACAAATTGTTTATGTTTAAAACCCCAAGAGAGTAGGGGGATGCGGCATCAATCAAGATGCTATTGAATTTCTTTATTCCATTGGTAATGTGTCAATTAACGACGGGCAACACAGCAGGAATAATTCTGTTATGGAGGATTTAATGATGTTCTATCAGAGAGTATTTTCATATCGCCCCATGCTGCTGCTCATTTGTGATTGTATTCTGCTTTCTAATTGTGCACTTTCAGTTTCAGAGGAGTTTTTGTTTCCCATCACTGCACCAATTTAAAGCATAATTAAACCCTCAGGTTTGTTTGCATGTATCTACTGCTGGCACCAAAAAGGTAATCACTTACATGTGTCTCCGCTGCTCGATTCGGTTCGAAGATCTGAAAAAATCTCGAGCGGCCGCAAAGGATCATGGGGCGGGCGCATGCGCAGTACAGCTTTTGAGCAGGAGAGACACAGGGTAAGCCAATGCAAGCAGCCCGGCATCGTGCAACCTCATAGATTCCGTGGGACAGGAAGACACAGCAGTCAGAGACCGGCACCAGCACTGGAGGGATTGCTGAAAAGTACTGGAAAGAAGATGATGATCGGAGAAGAGGCATGATTTAAGGTAAGTCCTTAAAGCAGCATTGGGCGGGGGTGGGGGATTTTTTCCTTCAATGTCACTTTAAGTATTAACAGGTGTTTCCTCATGTAATATATATCAATGTAAATGGGAGATTTTATGAGAAATAAGGAATTTACTTACTTCCTTCTTCACAGCCATTCATGGGCCGGGAGTAATTACGTGTCTGTCCTACTTTTTATTTTTTTTAAATCATGGGGCATATGTCTGCTGCTTGCTAGCAGTAGATATATGCCAAAAAAGACCCAATACTGGTTTAAGGACATACCTTAAATGATGCTTATTGCCTTTCCATTTGTATTCAGCAATCCCTCCGGTGCTGGTGCCGGTCTCCCTGCAAACTCCTGTCTCTTCCTGTCCCATGGTGTCTGCCTGACGTGCACGCACCCGGCTGCATGCATTCGGCTCCACCGTATCTCTCCTTTTCTCCCTGCTGAAGACCTGTACTGCGCATGAGCCCACCCCATCATCCTGCTCGGCCACTCAAGAATCTTCAGATCTTCGGACTGGAGTGAGCGGTGGAGACACAGCTAACTAATAACCTTTTTGGTAACTTTTTTAAAAATGTTTTTGCATATATCTACTGCTTGCTAGCAGTAGTTATATGCGGAAAAAAAAGAGCGTTTAATTCTACTTTTTTTTAAAATCTTGTCATAATTTGGTTATAAAAGTTGCAGACCCTGCTTGTAGCTTCATACAAAATGTTCATGCCTTGCTGCTCATTCTTACAATACAAGCATATGAGTGGACTGATTTTTAGAAAACAGTGCACTCCCTGTGTGGGTGACAGCTTATCTCAACATTTGTTAACAAAGGAGGAAGAGCAATTGCAAACTGATTGATTGCTCCCTCTTGTGGTAAACCTAAAACTCACAATTATAATAAAGTAAAATAGAACTCCGGGTAACATTTTTATTAACCCTTGCAGTGTGGCTACCCCCATACTGTGAGGGTTAACTGCTCATTTGTGCCTAGGGACTAAAATAAAAAAGTTATACTCACCTGATCCTCAAAGCCGGCCAGCTCTTAGAGCC